CCATAACAGAATGTTAATACGACTCGATTTGTGTAACCTACCGCTAATTATACATACAAATGATAGAGATTCGATATCAAATCAGATATGTTTACACCGACGGTGTTTCTTTATTCTTGTTGTTCCGCCACCGTGGTCATACAATCATGGACATATTTGCATATGTTTGTAATGTTTCCTATAGGAATATAACATATTTACATCACCGCCTACAATTAAACGAATAACCGAGTCGATGTTGTATCCGCCCAACGGGTTTATCTAGTCACCCCTGAACCGCATCCCCCGAGTATCCTTACTCAATATCCTAGAGCATCTCCAAAGTTTTTATGTTTGTTAAGGAATCTCACTTGATCTCGACTGTCTGATATCTAAATCCCCTGGATTAAACATGGTATTTGTAAAATCGCGAAGCTACTCGATCGAGCCAGAACGAATTGCTTGCACCGACTCCTGGTGCTATTATAAGTCACTGGCTTTGTAGGCAGACAACCAGGGTTCGATTCCCGACATGTGCCCTCTACAGAACTCCTGGGGCTACAGTAATCCCCGGCTTTGACCCGGCTTTGACTCCAAGTCGTAGGTTCCGTGTTTCATTACCTGTAAAACACACCTTTATTGTGATCAAAATAAGTTTAATCTGCTCTAGAGGTTATCGGTACTTTTATGCACCTATACTTATCCAGATGTTGTCAGTTGATTTCGGCTCTGTGTCATAATTAGGAACCCATATTCGGAACTCATTTCTGATTGGGGTCAGCTACTACATATATTACACTGTAGGACCCTATCCAGAACTCATCCAAGATTCGGTTAAGGTATATTGTATTATTTGGAACCCATATAGGAACTCATCCTCTCACTAGTAATTAGATCCTCTTTCCTTACTATTTATAAACATCTTCATTTGTAGACCGTAATCTAAATGGACTGATTATAACAAATCAAATGTTTCTTAAGAAATACATGAAACATACTGACGGTATTTCTATTAATCAGGAATTGATTCCAAGAATAAAATTCTAATAACAACATGGCTATCTACACATGTTCAGAATCAGATTCTGAATTGTGCTGAGAATTCGATTTTACATTAATTACTCCTCAAGATTGAAATCGGAGAATACAGAAATAATTAAGAAAAACTCCAGTCGAGTTAATTGTCCTCGTGCCACTGACAAACTGGTATCTGATTCTTTGGCGAGGCATTACTGTGGTATCAACAAAATGTCGGTGTTATACATTAACATGCTTGCCACGATTCAGGAACAGTTACATTCTCTGTCATAACTATGTATAGAAATTACTTAAACCAATTACTACAGAAGGCATGTTCATTAGGCATTTCACCGTATTTCTGCAATAATGACGATTGTCATCACAGAGTGGCATTCCTCTGAAACTGGCGTCACGTTGCCCCCTGCCTGCGCGGGTGCTGCATGCCGGCCCACGCCTATTAGCGGGTAGTTGGGATGATCTGCCAAACACTACATTAACGGGGAGGGGACAGGAATTATTACACTAACGGGGAAGGGGACGACAGGAATTACCCGAGTTCTCCTCTCCGTATCTCAGTGACGACCCTACCTTTGATTTGTTTCTCTTTTCTCTCCGTGACAAACGAGGGAAAACGAGACGGAACCAAAGAACCCACATCGAGCATCAAAGCATTTATCCGCTTTCTTCGGGTCTTCTTTTACACACTTGTGCGTTCTTCCGGTGCCAATTCTACAATGGCGCTCCAAAGTGAGGCGATCTCTTGGTCGTTAATCATACAAACTCAACCAGAACATTGCAAAGCGATAGTTTTGCTGTCTGTTTTCAAGCTTTTCTCGGAAGCATGGTGTTTGGCAAAGTAGACATTTCCATACACCATTGCAGAACGCGTCTTTCATCAAGCTCGGCGTTAGGGTTACCGTTCCTGCTATCTCTATTATTACGTGTGAAGCCATTAGAACGTGTACGGTTCGCACCACTGTACTGGATGATACCCTGCCTTACCAAATAGCGCATTCCTTTACAGTTCTAAGAGAGGCTTACATTCGCTGTAACGGTTTGTGTAATGGGGCACTAAGCCACAAATGACATGGCATGCCTATCGTTATAGTTGACAAACCGATATGCTTTTTTCATTTCTTATTTCTTTGATCAACTATAGTATTCCATTTTTCAGCATATTATCTTAATTGTTTTCACTCGATGGTATCACAATCACTAACATTTCACAGTTATGAATATTGATTTTAACAAGCAACCCACGTGTTACGTAATGTACGATCGAGCGAATTTGTGATAGGCTGATTATTTCATCTGTGACCTCATTCAATCATATATATTTATAGGTACCAGATCTAGACGTTGAAGTTTGAAGACGCGTGCTTTCAATCTGGGCTATGTGATGCATTTGTAAATTTAATAATCGTTGAAAGTTTATGTTATATTAGTGAATAAACATTGCATACGCGCTTCTAGCGCTGAGAAACGTGCATTTCTAACATAACTCTTTAAAGAACAGATATGACGAAAATGAAGGTCAAGACTGCCCCACATATTGGGGACAATACTTTAGACAAACTTATATTTTTGTTGAACAGTTTGGCCGCATGTTGTAGTGCTACCTTGTCTGTTTATAATATTACATACGTGAAACAAGTCTTATAAAATGGTTCAATGCTAAACAACTAACGCAACGCAAACTCAGGCTTACAGCGTACAAGAAGGACAGCTTTGGGAATTGTGCTGTATTAAACAAAATATGTAACTGTAGAATTTTTGAATTGATTGCAAATATACATTAATATTAATGTGCGTGCCGTCGTTGGTTTTTCCACGCAGGATTGCCAAATCCTGTTTATAATCGTTTGTCAATCATAATTTTGTGTGGAGTCTGTCGTTCCATGCACATACAAATAAATGCATACGTATATGCTGGTGTATCATGGGTGCCCATTGGATTGACATTTAGTTCGGATCTATTTGTGTATGGATAATGTGATAAATTTTGTGCTATTTCACTTCAAACTTATGAACTCAGTTAATTATAATGAATTGATTGTTTTAAATTTGTTATGTGTAATAGGAATGGCTGCATTTTCGAATTTCCATAGAGTAGAATAAAATACCCATGCGTTAACTGCAAGAAGAACAAAATACCTATTAACGTTTAATTTTCTCTGTTAGTAGGTAAAGGAAATCGATTAGTAAATGTTTTTCAATTTGAAAGAAAAGTGTTCCTGAATGTTTTTCCCTGTGCAAGGGAAAGAAACCTATGTTTTTCATTGTAAATGAAACAGTCTTTAATGTTTCCCCTAGACGACACATTGCCCAACAGTGCATTGGTAAGGGTAACAATCAATGTTTCCCTTGGTAAGGGTAACGATCAATGTTTCCCTTGGTAAGGGTAGCATTCAATGTTTTCCTTCGTAAGGGTAACAATCAATGTTTCCCTTGGTAAATGTAACAATCAATGTTTCCCTTGGTAAAGGTAACAATCAATGTTTCCCTTGGTAAAAGTAACAATCAATGTTTCCCTTGGTAAGGGTAACAATCAATGTTTCCCTTAGTAAAGGTAACAATCAATGTTTCCCTTGGTACAGGTAACAATCAATGTTTCCCTTGGTAAGGGTAGCAATCAATGTCTCCCTTGGTACAGGTAACAATCAATGTTTCCCTTAGTAAAGGTAACAATCAATGTTTCCCTTGGTACAGGTAACAATCAATGTTTCCCTTGGTAAGGGTAACAATCAATGTTTCCCTTGGTGAAAGAATGTATGTGATGTTACTTTATGCAAAGAATATGTCTGGAGAATTCCCACATTTAAACTCTTGGGTGTAGCAGGAATATCACACACTGGGGAAAAACGTGGATACACTTGTCTGTCAAGGGTACACGGATTCCCTGTTCCACCTTAGGATGAGACACTCCGCCTATTTTATGTAACGTTTCATTGAGAACAATTGAATACGTCACATTTTACAATTATAAACACTCATATTTTAGTTTGGAGAGTGGCGTAAAGGACAATTTTTGTCTCCTAACAATTTCATTTCAGGGCCAATAAAAGTTTAACAATTCCACATATAAATAGTAAAAGTAATTGAATTATTTGCCTCCTTGAGGACAAGCTAGGCATGTCTCAATAATCGGGTCGACATTTAACGCATTTAACCCCATCGGGTTGAAATAACCACCTACGCAGGTCAAGACAGCTCACATGCGCCGTTTATAAAAGTCCCAATGACACAAGTGTCAAATTGTACGCGAGAGCAATAATCCATCGCTCATGTGTAATATGAACAGAGATATCAGAAACCTCGGGATACGATTTTTAAAACATCCGGTAAAACCTTGTGATGAATCTCCAAATTCTTACCCTCTGTGTGGAGATTTCTCTGTCTACATCGCAGATGATTCGTTGATACTATTTGCAACCTCAATGCTTTCCTACACTGTATGTCATGGTACAGTAGCAGAGTCCTCAATGTTTCCCCGAGAAACCCCCATGTGTGGTGTTCAGAAGTTCACAGACAGGTTATTGGTACTTTCACAGTGTCCCTTACTTAAGCTCAGAAACCTTACCAAACACATCATATCCCCTGGTAGATTTACACAGCTGTAACGGGCAGATTTACTTGGTAGTGATCAAGTTTGTGATTTAACATTTGTCCCCACCACGTGAAGCCACACTGATGCGTCAGTTTCGGTTTAAAGCGTCTTACGTCAGTTTTGATCTCATACAAGCCTTACCATAAATAACGAATTTTATGTAGAAATGCAAAAACAAGTTTATCTAGTGGAACAATTAAAGGGAATTAATTATGGTATGCATTATATTTAACATCACGACAGAAGCACAGATCGCTTCCGATTATCATATTTTCCACTTGCCCTCAGTGTGATAGAAGGTACAGTGTCGTTTTATCATGAGATACATGTAACTTTATACAGACGTACATACATAAACTTGATGATCGAGTCTAATTATCTGCTTTATTTCCAGGTGATATGGAAGAAAGTTAAGGAGAAGCATGCTCTGACTGTGGGTGAGTTTGTGTTCGTCAAGGATCCCAGCTTCAGTGTAAAACACATACCGTACCGGGACGAGTGGAATCTGATGATCAACAACATTCAGCTCAAACACGCCGGCAAGTTCGAGTGTCAGGTCAGCACCAAAGAAAACATGCATCGATTCATCACGCTCACAGTCTCAGGTAACTGTCATCAGTAACTTTACACATAATGTTATACTGCACTGTCCCTCTAAACCCCTCCATGTATATGTCAGCATTGAACTGCTTTTATTTGGCATTCATAGTCAATATAAATTCCAACTGGAAAGGACAAACTACATGCAGCGCGCTACTATGAATTCCTCTAGTAAGAATGTTTTCTTGGGTAATTATACAGTTACTATATTATGTGTGAAAAAATGTTTATGAATATACTGTATCAGGTATTTACATTGCCACAAGGCCCCTCAAATGCCACTTTAAAGTGTTTCATCACTGGAATCTCATAACTTAGTCAATATACAATGACACTCCAACCCGTCCCATTTTTGCGACAACGGACTTACCATAAACACGTACCGGTATGGGTTTGGGGACACCTTCAAAAGAATCATGAAAACAGGAGAAAAAGTACAGAGGTGTTTTAATTGGGACAAAAGATCGGTATTGGTTACTTTAATGTTCTCAACGCAGAAGATACAAAAGAAACAACTCAAATTCGGCTTGGGCCTGAAAGTTAAATCCTGATGTATTTAGCAACAATACAATCTTAGGGAAAAGTTATGATGTCTCGAGAGGTTTGACACTGTTTGAGGTTTCCTCTAATGTTCGGGGTAGGACCAGACCTGCTGTACCCACTGTATGTTAACAGAGGCGCATTATGTTGGTTCCCCGTCAAATCAAGGGATTTTCATTGGTGTCTTCTGCTTAAATAAAATGAATGGACCAGCATTGACCCGCTGCCATCATTGCCGTACTTGGGATTTGTCGTCTAGTTTCGATTTTTCCTACTCTTTCTTTTCAATGGTGTCTCCATAGGTCCCAGTCTTCATTTGACCTTTACTGTTGAGAGGATATTAAACCCCATACAACCCGTCTAACAAATCATTTACAGTGTAATACAATGTACGATCCAGGTAAAAGCAGTTTAACGGTAACATAATCACTCAGTACAGCAGTCGACAACGACATGCCTAACATGCAATTTACGTAGTAAGACTAGTTTTATAGAGAAATCATTTATGTCTCAAACTCAGACTGTTTCATGAGGCCGATTGAGTGGACAGTTGATATCAATTGATGAGGCTATCGTATCGCGTTATCAAGGGACATGTACATACATGTACCAGTGTATACAACCAACTCATTGGCCTCAACTGCGATTGGTTTTCGATCTGGATAGATAACAATAAAGTTATCTGACATGGCAGTAGAGTTTTTGTCCTCGGGGGACGTGGGATTGCTAGGGAAACAAGAACCGAGCTAGAGAATGTGAGATATGTGTTATAATAAGTGGAACAATCTATACTGTCATTCCCGACGAAGTTCAAATTAAAGTGTAGATACGGTATTCCCTGGAGTTCGGCATCGTCAGAAATAAACTCCGGGGTCTCAGACAGCCTTTAAAGGAACTGCCGAAATGTCCTTGGAAGTGGCAGATATAACAACAGATGACTGTTAGATTATAAGGCTGTATCTAAGACATTTCAGTGGGAGGGAGGGTAGCTTCAGTTCCCCGTCACTAAGCAGCTCTATAACTTTCTACTTACACAGCCAGACAATCTCATTGATCGATAAAAAGCATTTGATTCCCTTGATAATAAGAGACTAAATGATAACTTATTACATGGCTAAGACATGCGTACACACGGGAATGGATGGTACATTCGTGGTGGTAGGCGAATCAACATAAGAACTTATTAGGTTCGGCGTACGTTACAAGCAACGGTAAATATGTTATTTTTACAAACTGTTTTTCTGCAAACCGTCTCCAAAATAAACATATTTTCCACCAAAGAAATGAATGCTCCGTTGTCGAGGTTATGTGTATAGCGTTCTTTTGACGATTTTATGTGTTTAGGGTTCTGGCACAGAAAGTAATATGTTGGTTGAGGATGATGAACCCTCTGTGTAGCCACTTTGATGTGCCTTGTTGTACCGGTATTGAGTTGACGGGCCGCTATCACTGTAGTGCACGGGCAGAATCCACTAATTACATGTGTACAACATGGTGTATGTCTGTACGGTGTTTGTTGAATGACACGAGCTACAAGTGATGTTGTCGAGAAGAGAGCCCCCATAACGAGCCACTTAATGTCGAGCTTTGACGTCCGGCATGTCCTCTTAGGTAGCATGCAATAGCATAACCACAGTGGAACTATGAAGTACATCTCTGTATAATTAAAGAAATAACAGCTCCCGTACCTGAATTATTATTTATATAGATAGTGAGGACATACACATACTACATTCGACGTGCTTGTGAAAAAACCTATACATACATAATGTATTTACGCGAGCAATAAGTATCTTATACAATTGCTAATACTAAAAAAATAGAATGATTGCACGTGCAAAATACTTGAAAAAACGACATATAACTGATGTTTATATATGTCACTATGTTTATTTGTTTACAGACAAAAAGAAACGGATAAAGAGTAAGTTAAAGAGTTGTGATCCTACCTAATACATATGTAACAGTTTTCGTAAACCTAACAAATACTGTAACTCTTGTTTACATCAACTCATTGACGTCTAGTCATATACCTGAAGCCTAAATAACCTACACAACAACATATCGCCTCCTGGTCTGTTCTTTGGTAATTGTGAAATAAGTATCGTTAAAACCAACTCACTTACTTCAGGTCCTATCATTCACTACGAAATAACGTTTGCTTATAACCAACTACCTTTGGGCACTAACCATATCTGTAACACCAACCATCGTTTCTCTGCGCCTGTCTGTGATTTCTTTGTCTCGGACTCACCTTTGCATTGAACGCGTCATGTTTTACGAGAAATGATACCACTCAAATATAATACAATATTTTGTAAATGGTACATTAACAAGTTGAATCCAGAATACCGCAGCTATTATACTATATCATAATGACAAGCATACGAAACGATAAATGTTTACCGTTATCATATTAATTTATAATGATACCAAAACCATTGGTTGTAATAATTTCCCACATTTTAAAACTGCTCCCTATAATATAAATTGTATTACTACAGCATCGTTATCAGTGGTGCCACACACTGTAAGCATATATCGGTGCCACACTGACAACACACATTGGTGCCCCACAGTGAAAGCATATATCGGCGCCACACTGATATACATTGATGCCACACCGACACACATTGGTGTCACACAGTGTAGCATACATCGGTGCCACACTGACACACATTGGTGCCACACAGTGTAGCATTTATCGGTGCCACACCGACACACATTGGTGTCACACAGTGTAGCATATATCGGTGCCACACTGACACACATTGGTGTCACACAGTGTAGCATATATTGGTGCCACACCGACACACATTGGTGTCACACAGTGAAGCATATATCGGTGCCACACTGACACACATTGGTGCCACACAGTGTAGCATATATCGGTGCCACACTGATACACATTGGTGCCAAACAGTGTAGCATATATCGGTGCCACACTGATACACATTGATGCCACACAGTGTTGACATACATTGATGCCACACCGACACACAGTTGTGCTACACAATGTTGACATACATTGATGCCACACCGACACACATTGGTGCCACACAGTGGTGGCATACATTGATACCACACCGACACACATTGGTGCCACACAGTGGTGACATACATTGATGCCACACCGATACACAGTTGTGCTACACAGTGGTGGCATACCTTGATGCCACACCGACACACATTGGTGCCACACAGTGTTGACATACATTGATGCCACACCGACACACAGTTGTGCTACACAATGTTGACATAAATTGATGCCACACCGACACACAGTGTAAGCATATATCGGTGCCACACTGATACACATTGGTGCCACACTGATACACATTGGTGCCACACAGTCTTGACATACATTGGTGCCACACCGACACACAGTTGTGCTACACAGTGACGCCACATAAAGAGCAAATGTAGGAATATCTACATTTGTACGTGTAACTAGATATAATCTGTTATCTGTCATAACTAATACTCTATTTAATTCTAACTAGGCTTATATACTGATATAATTGTTTTATACCAATGATGACTATTGGGCCTTAACCTCGACTTTGCTTGTTTGTTTGTTCAAACGATGACACCGCGTCCCTAACATTGACTTAAACTGTTTGTATGTGCCGGTGATGACCCCGGAGCCCTCACCTTTACTTTAGTTGTTTGTTTGTACCAACGATGACTCCGGGCCCTCAACTTTACTTTACATATTTGTTTGTACCAACTATAACCCCCGGGGTGCTAACCTTGACTTATTTGCTTGTACCGACGATAACCCCGGGGTCACCACCTCGACTTTACTTATTTGTTTGTGCCAAATATAACCCCCGGGGTGCTTACCTTTACTTATTTGTTTGTACCGACGATAACCCCGGGGTCACCACCTCGACTTTACTTATTTGTTTGTGCCAACTATAACCCCGGAGTGCTAACCTTGACTTATTTGTTTGTACCAACAATAACCCCGGGCCCTCAACTTACTTTACATATTTGTTTGTACCAACTATAACCCCCGGAGTGCTTACCTTTACTTATTTGTTTGTACCAACGATAACCCCAGGGTCACCATCTCGACTTTACTTATTTGTTTGTGCCAATGCTAATTGCTCCAATCCAAGCATTTTTCAGGAGAAAAGTGATACTAGGTTATGCCTGTTGTCTTATCCTTTTGATTGTTGTATCGATAGCATTGGTTATTAGACACGCACATATACATACATGCTATTCGGATGAAAATATGAATATATCAAAACTTAAAAGAAAAGATACTCTAAATAATATTCCATAATCACTAGAACACATTGCAATTGCATATAATCAAATATGTGCACACGGCAATATATTGCTTCTTTGCACCAGTGTAAAATATTAATGCTAGTAACAGAACCATATGATTAATGAAAGATTAATTTTGATTTATCTGAAAGTGAAAATTAATTCGACTCAGAATATGTGTTTCATTCAACTGCAAAGAGTGTGTTAGGATGTTATCTATATTGTATTTATTTCCGTACGAATGTGATGTATACTTGGATCTGTCATCTGTTTGCAACATAAACATTACTGCTTCGCGTGTGATGGGACGATTTAACGTGGATCTGTGCGTGATTTACATTCACAAAACTATCTTACTCCCTGGTTTTAACTAAACTATTACACTATATTCTTTGTTTAGATTTCGGATGTATATCACCAAAGTAATCAGTGAATATGCTTACGGCGCAACGAACTAGTGTTATTTATTCCTCTATCACACACAACGCAGTGAAACTTCCTCCTTACAGCCTAATACAAACATCATCGTCAAACATCCTTTGTACAGACTGACACAATATCGCCAAACCTTCTCCGTACAGACTGACATAACATCCTCAAACTACCTCCGTACAGACTGACACAATATCGCCAAACCTTCTCCGTATAGACTGACACAACATCGTCAAACCTCCTCCGTCCAGACTGACAGTGTCAAACCTTATACGTACAGACTGACACAACATCGTCAAACCTCCTCCGTACAGACTGACATAACATCCTCAAACTTCCTCCGTACAAACTGACACAATATCGCCAAACCTTCTCCGTACAGACTGACACAACATCGTCAAACCTTCTCCGTACAGACTGACACAACATCGTCAAACCTCCTCCGTACAGACTGACATAGCATCCTCAAACTTCCTCCGTACAAACTGACACAATATCGCCAAACCTTCTCCGTACAGACTGACAGTGTCAAACCTTCTCCGTACACACTGACACAGCATCGTCAAACCTCCTCCGTACAGACTGACAGTATCAAACCTCCTCTATACAGACTGACACAATATCGTCAATCCTCCTCCGTACACACTGACACAACATCGTAAAACCTCCTCCGTACAGACTGACACAACATCGTCAAACCTCCTCCGTACAAACTGACACAATATCGCCAAACCTTCTCCGTACAGACTGACACAACATCGTCAAACCTCCTCCGTCCAGACTGACAGTGTCAAACCTTCTCCTTACACACTGACACAGCATCGTCAAACCTCCTCCGTAAAGACTGACAGTAACAAACCTCCTCTATACAGACTGACACAACATCGTCAATCCTCCTCCGTACACACTGACACAACATCGTAAAACCTCCTCCGTACACAATGACACAACACCGTCAAACCTCCTCCGTATAGACTGACACAATATCGCCAAACCTTCTCCGTACAGACTGACACAACATCGTCAAACCTCCTCCGTCCAGACTGACAGTGTCAAACCTTCTCCTTACACACTGACACAGCATCGTCAAACCTCCTCCGTAAAGACTGACAGTAACAAACCTCCTCTATACAGACTGACACAACATCGTCAATCCTCCTCCGTACACACTGACACAACATCGTAAAACCTCCTCCGTACACAATGACACAACACCGTCAAACCTCCTCCGTATAGACTGACACAATATCGCCAAACCTTCTCCGTACAGACTGACACAACATCGTCAAACCTCCTCCGTCCAGACTGACAGTGTCAAACCTTCTCCTTACACACTGACACAGCATCGTCAAACCTCCTCCGTACAGACTGACAGTATCAAACCTCCTCTATACAGACTGACACAACATCGTCAATCCTCCTCCGTACACACTGACACAACATCGTAAAACCTCCTCCGTACA